GATATCCCCTTATAGTAAGGTGACCAGACATCCCGCTTTTGGCGGGACAATCCCGATTTTTGGAAAGAATGCACAGACAAGCTAGGGAACGGTCTATTTGGTCCATATAGACCAAATTTTTAATCAAGACCCCCACCCCCAGCCCGTCAATGGTGTCCCGCTTTAAATCTGGTCACCTTACCTTATAGAAGGGTCACAGGGAGACCAGGCAGCCAGGCTGCAGTATAGCACCAATGAAACATACAACTTTTCTCTAGTTCTTTAATGCCTTCCCCACCCCCCCACCCCCACCCCAATATCATGATCCTAGTTCTACGTTACAAATCCGGCTAGACCAGAGGATCTACACTGGTACAGATAAGAGCTGGAAACACAGGAAATCCAGGACAGATAAACCCCTCAGAACCAATATTGAGAGCAGCGCTACTAGGAGGGCAAGGGGAAGGTTGGGGCTAAAGGGGGAACGATCACAATGATCTACATATAACCCCCTCCCAGGAGGATAGACAACAGAAAAGTGGGGGAGACATCGGTCAGTGTAAAACATGAAAAAATAATCATTCATAAATTATCAAGGGTTCATGAGGGATGGAGAGTGGGGGAAGGGAGGGGGCGAAATGAGAAGCTGATACCAAGGGCTCAAGCAGAAAGAAAACGTTTTGAGAATGATGATGGCAACAAATGTACAAATGTGTTTGACGGAATAGATGGATGGATGGATGGATTGTGATAAGAGTTGTACGAGCCTCCAATCAAACGATTAAAAACAAAGTTTTAGAGGCCAAGTCTTATTCTTCATAGTACTGGAGGTCGCAACAAATATTTGAGGAAATATTTGCTTGCTACATGTGTGGTCTCCCAGGTCTAGCTCAGATCGGCTACAGAGGCAGGCACGGCTGAAAACGAGCTTCTTTGGTCGGCCAAAGGAAGATGTAGGTCTCCAAGGTGGCTCCCAAGTCCTGGGCGCGGGTCTTTTGTTGGCGTGACTGGCATCTGATGGGTGTTCAACCCAGGGTGGCCCATTGCTCTCTGCGCATCCGGCATTCTGATTTGGGAACAAGGGCTCGGAAAAATAAGGGACCAGCTAGAAAGATCGTTTTCTCTGCCCGGAATGGGTGTCCCAGGAAGAGGCCTCATAGGGATACGCATGTATCCTGTGAATTCTTTCTCCCGAGAAGCCAAGGGCCAAGGTATTCCTCACCCGAGAAACCGAATGAGAAACCGAACATTTTTCACGCATCACCGAATAATGCCTACCCACCAGTGTATATTGCACACATTTCACTCATAGATGAAAACGCAGAATTAAGAACTGGAAAGACGTCTCGCTGCTGTAATCGAGCAAGAAAGCGCCATGATTTCACTTGCTTCACAGTCTTCAGGGAGAAAATGGAAAGGAAAAGACCCTCGTTAGCAATATTTCCCGTGGATGTAGGAGCATATTTCAAAACACAGGGTTTTGCTTATAGGATTTCACGAGCATAGGCGAACTGTTCCAGGGTTCCCTGGCTGGAGAATCCTGACTTTCCCCAAGCAGAGACTCTCTCCTGTCCCTGGACTGGGCAGGGCTCGGGATCGCGTGCCTGGCCCAAGGCGCCGCCGGCGAGGCGGAGTGCGCATGTCCGCGCGGGCGGGGCGGGCCGGAAGCTCGGGCGCCGGCGCGCAGGAAGAGGCGGGCG